TGACAAAAAAATAATTAATCTAAACAAACAATATTCCAAATAACCAACTTTCAAATGAGTAGACAAGATAAAGAATATAGTTACTAGCTAATGATTATGGCTGTTAAGCATCAATAAGACACTTACTTCACTTCCTCTACTACAGGAATTGATATTTTAGATTAGGGCTTTCAAACAATATGGGGCAAACAAGAGTACAATAAATGAGGCTCCCATAGTCCTTATGCCTCTGACATAGTAAGGCAAGAAATCTTTCCTCCAAACTAAATGAGATTACAATATTTCAATCTAATTGAACTTTCACAGAAAGAAGTCCAAGACATATTAATATATATACAGTCTTGACTATGGTTGTATTAATTAATTATGTCTGAAAAGCTTACTACCCATCCAAGTCCAAAGGTGGTATGGTGATTGGCAGTAGACTACAGAAGCATGGGCTGGTTGTGCTGGTGCAACCTTGAGGAAAAGTATCTGCCACAGAGGCTGAGTAGAACAGTCCTGCTAGAGAAAACAGGGGAATCAGCACAGTCAAGGTAGGAAGAGACAGAAACATTCTTCTCTTCCACTTACGACCCGCCACACTGGCTTTTTAAATCGTATTAATATTGTTGTTTTTAACTGTGGTTTAGTGCTTGTTCTTCTTCTAATTATTATTATTTTTTCCTTTTTAAAAAAAATTTTTAATTTTATTATTTTTTGTGCATGTACAGTCAAATCAGATCTGACTGGTACAGAAGGAGATTGTCCCTCCTTCTCCAGCGGAGCATCTGGTGGATTTGAACTCTTCTTATTATTTTGATGTATCATCCTGGCTGCCTGAGGAATCATATTAATACCATCAACAACAGGATAGGCTAGTCCTAACTCTTCATTAATCAATTCATTGGTTGATGCTTCATATCTGAGCGGCTTCTTGGAGAGTGGGCACACCAGGAACTCCAGAAGTGCCAGGTCCAAGGAGCCGAGTGGCTCCTCCACCCTCCCACTCGGATTCCCCACTGTTGTTGCCACCATGTGTACAGGCAACAGGGGACAGAGACGCATAGCACCGAGGCGAGTCTGCTGCAGGTTCCAAGCTGCATGGTCCCACAACCAGCAGCCTCACGTCTCCACACCCCCCCCCCAGTAACCTCGCAAAAAAATTTTTTTAAATTATTCTTCTTGTTAGGTGTCATCAAATCAAGTATAACTCATAGCAGCCCTGTGAACAGCAGATATGAACCCTGTCCTATCCTGTGCCATCCTCATCGTTTCTGACGCACTTGACCCTGTTTCTGTATCATGTCATTCCATTAATAACCCATAATGCCTCTTCCTGAATAGTCTCAGGGTCTTTTTACCTCCCCCTGTACAGATGGGCTCCTGAACATCTATCTTGTGTCTAATAACTTCCACTTGGCAGTTATTCTCTAGATGGACCCTCACAACAAAGGGCCAGGGATTTAGCTCAGAAGAGCAAGGAGAAAGAGTTTTTAGAGTAAATCTCTAATTGAGGAAAGAAGCTTAGTTCACTAAATATGCACTTCAGGAGTGCAGAGAAATAGAATTTGGTACTTTTTCTGATTTTACCTTTTCTATTGAAAATTCAAAATTTTGGAAAATACAATATGAGAGAAAATCCAAATAATGAACTTTTATGTATTCATCACATAGTTTAACAATTATCAACTCATAGGGCATAATGGTAGATTCAAATATATCCCTATATATCCCAGAAACTGTATCTGGTAGCTCGGAGGACTTAGATTTCTACAGGGAAACATTCTCCTTTTGCATTTAATTTCAGGAATTTTTAAATAGATAAAACCAGAGGGCTTAGGGGAACAAATAAGAAAATATTTAATAATTTCATGGTTGAGAGAGAAGCATCTGGTCTCCCTTGATGACTACTAGATAAATTCCAATCCTGAATAGTATCGGTGAATGGGAAAGCTAATAGACTCTGTACCTCAACAGCACACTTCCTTAAACTAGATAGAGAAAGGTGCCTGAGGACCTGAATTTAAAATGCTAGCTCTTCACTTGGCTAACTGATACACATATACAGGGATGTTAGAGAGCAGGGGGAATATTCCTTGATTCAAGGTATGATATTTGTAGATCTAAGCCCCAAAGGGAAGATAGATGTACGGCTAAAGATAAAATCATTTAGATATAATCATTTAGAGAGGTCTAGTAGCCTGGTCCGTTGCAAGTTGTACTGCTAACCACGAATCTCTGGTGGTTCTAATCCTCTAGATGCTTCTTGAGAGAAAGATGAACAGTCTCCTTTCCTTGTCATTTACTGCTTTGGAAACCCAAAGAAGGATCATTCTCAGTTGAAAATGACTCTTTAGCAGAGAGTGAGTGAGCGAGTAATAGACAGCTAATGGCATAATGAATCATTTGAATTTGCAGGAAGTTTTCCCAGGTATTTTCCCTCTCCAAGGAATTCTTACCCTTCTTTCTGACTTTGTGTTAGGGGTTAGTTTGTTTTCATTCAATTAATATTTATTAATCACCTATAATTAGCTAAATATTTTGATAAAACAATGGTGAAATCAACAGTTAATAAGTAGACTTGTGATTGAGCTCCATAATGTACTGTAAGCACATTACATTTTAGATAGTAAGGAGACTTCTAGAATTTAGGAAATTATCCAAGGTCTATTTTTCAGTTACTAAAATAGACCATATATATTCCATCAAAAAAGTATCTCTTTGACATTGATATTTATTTAACCTGTACTTGAAAATGAAATAAACCTTGACTTTGTTATATTTGCAAGGAATGTGTCATTAGTAAAGATCATGACTATATTTTAGCTACTTTCTATTGAAAAATTCAAAATTTTAGAAAATACAGGAGAGAAAATCGAGTAATAAACTCTTATGCATTCATCACATAGATTCAACAATTATTAACTTATAACTGATCTTGTTTTGTATTTACCATTACCCATATTATCCCCCATGTGCACTACAGAGTCAGAACCAACCCATAGCCAACACTCTGGCAGGTTTTCAGAGATAGTTAATCTCATGGGAGGAGAGTGCCATCCTTCTCCCGTGGAGCAGCTGGCCCTGAACCATGTACATTTGGGATTACAGCACAGCTTCTTGCCACTAGGCCACCAGATCTCTCTTTTATCTCCCTAGATTATTCTAAAACAAAAGCATTATAATTTCATCTCTAAGTATTCAGTGTATATCTGGAAAAGGTGGTGGTGGTGGTTGTTACTGTTATGTGCTGTCAAGTCGCCTGAGATTCATAGCGACCCTGTGTACAACAGCCCTAAACCCTTCTCTATCCTGTGCCAAACTTACTGCTTCTGACACACCAACCCCCATTACCCCAGTCACTGAATCAATCCATCTCATCAAGGGTCTTCCTCTCTTGTGTTTTCCCTCCACCCTCCCAAGCATGATGTCCCTCTCCAAGGACCGGTCCCTTCTTGCAACATGTCCAAAGTATGTCAGACAAAGCTTCAGAATCCTTGCCTCCAAGGAGCAGCCTGGTCTCACCCTCTCTAGGATGAACCCTTTTTGTTCTCCTAGCAGTCCATGGTGTATTCAATACTCTTCTCTTCTCCAGCACCACAGCTCCAAGGCATCAATTCTTCTTCTATCATTCCTAGTCATTGTCCAGCTTTCTGATACATAGCAAGTAGTTGCAAAGACTATAGCCTGGATCAGGTGCACCTTAGTCTCCAGACTGACATCATTACTCATCAGTACTTTGGAAAGATCTCTGAAAGCAGACTTTCCCAGTGCAATTCATCTCTTGATGTCTGGCTGCCGGTACCAACAGTGTTGATTGTGGAGATAAGCAAACTAAAGCTGTTAACAATCTCAGTTTCTTCACCATGTATCATGCTGCCAATCGGCCCAGGGTGAGAATGTTTTCTTGATGTTAAGCTTCAATTCATATTGAAGGCTATAGTCCTTGACCTTCTACAGCAAGCGCTTCAGGTCCTCAGTTTCAGCAAGCAGAGTTGTGCCATCTGCATAACGCAGATTATTATTGAGTCTTCTCCAATCCTGATGCCACATTTCTCCTCATAGAGTCCAGCCTCCCAGATAATCTGTTCTGCATATCAGTTGAAAAGGTATGGCGTTAGGATACATCTCTGGCATACACC